ACACGACCATGGGGAAATCGTGATCCCTCGGGATGACCTTCTCCAGGAAATCATCTCTCCAATTGTCCAGGGACTCAAAGGACTCCCTGTCTGTCACATCGAAGGCCAGCATGCATCCATCAGAGCCCTTGTAGAAAGTCGACACCATGGACCTGAATCTCTCCTGTCCCCCCGTGTCCCAGATCTAGGGCAGAGAAAGGCACAGACACACCAACAGGCATTTGGGGACACGGGTGTCGCGGGGGCAGGGCAGCAGAGTGCCTCACCTGCAGCTTCAGGGGGGTTTTGTCCACTGCGACGACCTTGGTCAGGATGCTGGCGCCCAGCGTGGTGCGGTAATCTTCATAAAAGGTCTTGTGCACATATTGGTGCAGGAGGGAGGTTTTGCCTACACTGGTGGGATGGAAGGAACACAGGTGAGGGCTGTAAGCTGCAGAGCCAGGCTTGAGGGGTTGGGTGCAGCCAGCATGAAGGCCGTGCGCCCATAGGATCCCGGACTGGGGCATGCATGGGGTTCCCCCATTGCCCCCCCTGCAAGGACAGCGTGGGGTTTGGGCAGCATACAGTGTTTAGAAGGATTTTGCACTGCTTAAAAGCAAAGAGAGACTCAGCAGCCCCAGGGATCCGTGTGTCTCCTTACCCCAGAGCTCCTATGATAATGATCTTCAGATCCACCTTTTTGCTGGCGTCCATGGATGAGCCCTGCGGGGACAAGAAGAGTCACACACTGAAGGCTGCCAAAGGGACAACCAGTGCTGGAGGTGCAGGAGCAGCTGTCGGCCCCTGCAGCCCCCCCTGCTCCCCCCAGCACCACAGGATGTGAACTGAGCTGTGCCAGGAGCAGCGCTGGGAGCAGAACCCCCTGTGCCAGCCCAGCCCACATCACCACCTGGGACTGCTCCCCAGTGCCACAGCACGCCTGGACATGCTGCCATGTGAAAGCCTGCCGTGAGAAACCTCCCAGCCCCTGTCTGCTTCTGAAGTGCAACTCCCTGCTCATAAACCTGACGAACAGGGAGGGGGGAATTGCATTTATGAAAGGAGATCGTGGCTGGGTGGCGTTCCTGGCTGCTCTGAGCACTTCAGGAGCACTCTGAAAGGCAGGAGCTTGTGGGGGAGATGTGACCTCGGTGACAGCTTCAGTCCTGGTTAATAATCACTGCTGAGGGCAATGCCCGTGTCAGGGACTTGAGCCCTTTGCTGCCTCTTCAGCACCTGTAGGAAAAGCCCGAAACTGGAGCTGGGGTTTTGCTTTGGATTTCTGCACAGTCCCAGCGAGCACCAAGCCCTGAGCACAGCAGCACCCCCTCCCCAGCCGGGACAGCGCGCAGTTCCATCCCTTCCCCAGCGCTGCTCGCACTGCAGCGCCAGCCCTGCTCTGCCAGGGAAGCCCTTGAAGCCCTGGAAGCGCTCGCTAATCCCTGCATTTTTTCCCGATGCGTTGTCCGGCTCCGCGCAGCTCTCCATACACAGGGCGTGAGCACCACGCTTCCTCCGCCAGGACGAATCGCCCACCCGGATCCCAATTTTCCCACCCTCCCCATCCACGATGCTCACCGAGCCCCGTGCCGAAGTTCACCCAGCCCTCCTTGTCCTCGTGCCAGCCTTCCCAGGGCCGGCAGTTTTATATCCCGCCCCATGCGTATCCCAAAGCTTTGCTCCGAAGGGGTCTGCGGTTTGCGCACCCACCTGTTGAGGCATCGTCCTCCCGGGCCGGAGGTGCGGAGCTCTTTCGGGAAGAGCCAGAGGAGGAGCAGGAAACGGCGTTGGCCCCAGCGTTGGTTCCTTCTGCTCGAGGGAGGGCGGCTGCGTTCCCCCGCGCCGTGACATCAGCACGAAGGGGCCGGGAGCTGCGGGGCGGGCGGTGGTTCTGCGGGGCTGGGCTGGATCGTGGCGCTCAGCATCGCTTTATTGCACGGAAACCAGCGCGGACTTTGCTCGGTTGCTCTGCTGAGCAGCGCGGTGGGGTTGGAAGGAGCGGGGGGCTGCAACGGTCCGCTCCCCCATCTCAGGGGCTCTTTGCGGCTCTTTCGTAGGCAGGCGAGGTCCGGAGCAGCAGCGTTCGCAGCCCTGCTGGCCGTGCCGTGTTCACGCTCAGCCAGCGCCCACATGTGCGCTGCCATCCCATGCACAGCCCGGAAGATGGGGACGATGACATTAGGAGCCCTACGCTCAGATTCGGCGGCAGCTCCTGGAGCAGAACGCGCGCAGCACACGAGGAGGATTTTATCGCTCTCCTCGCTCAGCAAAACAGATCTACTGAGCGCGGGAGCACGCAGCAGCTCCCAAGCACTGAGACATCTCCCCATGAGCATCGGCACCCAGTGTGAGGTGTGTGCTGCAGAGACATCGCAAGAATTCCCAGTGCCACGTCTGCAGAGCTGTGCTTGGCGGTAGGAGCAGTGCCTGGGAGCGATGCAGGCATGCAGGGGCAGGTGCTGAGCGTTTGCCAGGGGTGCAGAAGGATTCAGAGCTTCCCCACCCTCTTTTGTGAACCCCCAGCCTCCCTCACCATAAACGGCAGCCACAGGCTGCTGCATTTCTGCTGCCTGTACTCATTTTCTGCTTTGCTTGTTGGCTGTCCCCAGCACCAGGGTGAATTCAGGAGGTGTTCCTGGTCACAGCCCAGCAGTGACTCATGCTCAGCAAGGCTGGAGCTTCCCATTTGCAGCCTCACGTGCTCTCTGTCAGAGGACAGCCCTGACCCTGCTGCCCCTTCTATCTGCAGATGCTCCTTGTGGGATCTAAGAGATCTCCGTGCTCAGCAGGACAAACTCTCCTCCTCCTTCCCAGGTGTAATTTTGGGACCTGTTTGGCCTGAAACTCTGCCTTTCCCCCACAGGGCAGGCACAGGGAGTGGTGGGGAGGTGGGAGAAGCACCTGAGCCTCCGGCCTGTGGGCAGCTCTCTGTCTGATGGATGGCACTCCCCAAGAGCAGCTCTCTCCTGCCTTCTCCTGGTCCCTGTTTGTTGCCTATTGTGCTGCTTCACCTTTGCCCTTGCAGGAGGACTCTGTGGTGTCTGTTGCCCCAGATCTGTCTGTCCTCCTCCTCCCCATGTGCCCATCAGCCTGGCAATGGGTGATGCTCACCGGTCAGATGATCCCCGTGTCTCCATGTCATCAGAGATGGGCTGTGTGGTTGCGTTACCACAACTGATGCCCACTTCTGCTTTTGTGCAGGAGGGCCCGGCCCCATCAGAAGCCCAGCCTGGGCCGGTGGCAGCTCTGCTTTTGCGTGGTTTCTGATGAAAAGGGATTTTCCTGGGCTCCTGCTCTCGTCACGACTCTCAGAGCAGTTGGGGCAATCTTCGTGCAGTGCAGCACAAAGCAGTGCTGTGGGCTGATGCCCTGACAGCTCCCTTGCCTGCTCAGCAGCTCCTGCAACCACAGCTACAGTCCTGCTTGCTTCACCCGTGGTCAGCAATTCCATGGGCAAAGTGTGGGAGTTTGTGCCCTGTGACAAGGAGGAAGGGCTTGCAGCTGGGAAACAATGAGGCACAGGATGGCTGCAGGCAGAGGAGAGACTCATGTGGGCAAAGAGAGGAGACGTCATCCCCTGCAGCAAGCAGAGGCCACAGAATGAGGGAAGGGGAAGAAAGCAAAAAGTATCCCGATGACCAAAGTATTCTCCATGAGTCGTGCAGCTACTCCTGCTCTCCAGGGACAGAGGGAGATCCCTACTGAGATATTGCTGGAGCAACATCCCCTGAGCATTGGCTGGGTGCTGAGAGCTGTGGACCTCTGTCCACCTCTGCTGTCTTCCCCTTCTCTGAAGCCCACCAAGGGGGCATGGGATGCTCTGGGATCCCAGGAGCAGATGGCAATGGAGGGGTGATCCTGGATAGGTCCAGGCAGTGCCACCATCCTTTAGGGACACCAGGTGGTCCCTCGCTGTGCTGGATGCCCCCCTCCCCACCCATGGCTGCGGTGATGGGCAGATCCTGCAATGCTCAGCAGCACTGTGGTGTGCAAAGTGTTAAGCTGTCAGGAGCTGCAGGAGGAGAGCAGACCTTTGTCCAGCTGCCCCTGCACCTTATCTGCACGATGCCTGGGTGAAGCACGGCGAAAGGTGATGTCAATACAGCAAACAGTTACAGAAACCATATGCTGGTCAGCAGCACAATCAGTGTTTCGAAGTAAGGCAGATATTTCCTTTTGTGGCAAACAGAAATCCAAAGCCTGGAAGTGTTTACTTCCAGCTCTGAGCTTTGCAGTGACCATTCAGCTCTCCTCTGGAATCGCTGCAGGGGAACCTGAGCACCCCATCCCCAGCCCTGCTCTGAGCTCAGCCCCGCAGCAACAAGGCAAGCTGTGCAGAGCCATGGATAAAAATAACCCTTCCGTGCACTTCCCCTTGTGCTCAGGATGCATCATGCATGAGCCACCAAGCATCACCCACGTCCCTTGCACTGTCAGCAATCACACGCGCTGCGGTGGCTCCTGGGGGGGGATGCAGCTCCCTGAGACCCTTGAAGCCCCCAACCCACTGTGCTGGCTGCAGAGATTTGGCAGCACACAGCTCTGTGCCTTCGTGCACCCACAAACCACAGTCCTTTGAGAGCTCCTCGGGGGATTAAAGGAAAATCTGCTGGAAGTCACCTGCTGTGCGGGGAGTTTTGTGGCACAGAAAGAGCCGGGGGGTTTCTTCGCTCTCCTAATGATCTCATTTGTTGGTGGCAGCTCAGCCTGCTGAAGCCGTGCATTTTGCTGCTGAGCTCTGCCCTCACAGCCCCTGCCCTGCCCAGATCCACCTCCCGGGGCTTTCTGAGCAAACTTTCCACTTCTTGCACTGCAGAAATCCCAGTGAGAGACCACAAAGGCCGAGCCTCCAGACCAAATGAACAGCACGGTCTCCTCCTGCAGCTCACTCCAGCACAGTCAGCACTGAGGGTGCACAGGAAGGAGGACACAGATTGGGGCAGCAGAGACGTGCAGGATCACTGCTTTAGGAATGGCAACCACTCCAGGTTCTGTTTTACCAAAGCATTTATTGAGCCGTGTTCTAAAACATGACAATCTGCAGGGCGTGCTCCGCAGGGCCGCCTGAGGCATTTTGTGTGCACTCCTCGGCACGGAGTGAACCTCCGTGTGCTCTGCACTCCCTGGCTTGGGGACTTCTTCTCCATCCCCATGGCGCTGAGCAGCTCCTGCCCCACTCGTGGCCATGGCCGCAACCCGGCGGCTCCACTTCCCTCCCACCCCATAGGACTCACAGCCCTAAGGGGCAGCGGGCGCGAAGCCCACCCGGTTATTTCCACGGTCGAAGACGGAATAATACTGTCGGATGAAAACGTCACCCAAAATCCAGAGGGGTCCGGCAGGAGGGGGGACATCCATACCCTGGAAGCCACTGAGGCAGATGTCCATGCCGTCACTTTGCTCCTGCAGGGAGAAGTGTGATGCTGGGGTCAACCCAAGAGCACACAGAAGGAGAAAGAAGGGGGATTTGGGGTCCTGGGAACCCAGCAGGTGGGAGCTGTGGGTACCATGAGGGTGTAGGCTTGGGCAGAGAGTGTGTAGGGGATCCCGTTGATGGTGAAGGTGACGATGGGCATCGAGCTCAGGAGGCTGCAGTCCACGACGTACTGCAAGAAAATGGGGATGGCTCCCATGCCAGCACTGTGCATTCCTCTTCCCCCACCACCACCTTGGCCGTATTACTGACATTAACACATGGGCAGCAATGAATGCAGAAAATCTCTGCTGTGATTGCCTCAGTGCCACAACACGCAGTGCTACCCTCCTTTGGGTACCCCTTGAAGCACTCCTCCCTGCAGTGCCCATCCCCAGGGCTTTGCCCCTGCTCTCCCCCCTCGCTCTCACCTCACCATCCATAGGTGTGGCACCAATATATCTTTGCATCTCCTTTATGTCCTTGGTGGGACCAGTGAGCAGAGACGTGCCGGTGTCCACGATGGCCTGGCAGCCATTGGCACAGAAAGCCACCGTCCCCCCTACCTGCACACTGTGGGAAGGTGCAAGAGATGGGGAGCACTGGGGATAACTGGAAGGGACCCCAAACCCCCACGCTGCCCAGCCCCACTCACTTGTCCACCTGGATCTGCCAGTAGCCCTGCACTGTGACCGGCACCCAGTGCAGGGTGCCCAGGAAGTGGGAGGGATCAAAGCCCCCAAAGAGCACTTCTCCACCCAAGGAGGAGTCCGGGTTCCTGGAGGAAGGGGGGGATGTGAGCCATTTATTTTCCTTTTCCATCTTAAAAAAAAAATGTGGATTGATACCCCTATGCTTCCCACAGATGCTCAGGGTTTTAAGCCTCACTCTGGTATGGTCTGAGCTCTGTGATGCTCAGCACGCTTCCAAAAAGCCTCCTTGCCATCCTGCTGCTCCCTAAAAGTAACACCTGCACCAGAACCACATCCTTACGCGCTCATGTAGACAGAGAAGATGGGCAGTTCCACCAGATCTTGGGCCATCATGTTGTCAAAGACAGGGGTGACCCCATCCACGGCCAGCGAGGGGTACGCCAGCCCCAGGATCCCATCAAATTCCGAATCCTGGAAGGTTTTTCCCGGCTCGCTGACGCTCTCTGCAAAGGGCTGATTGCACACGGTCATGCCTTCCACCTGTGGGATGGACGGGGCTCATTGATGGCTCTGGGACATCCCGTGTCACGACTCAGAGCAGACGACCCGAACGCGACTCACGGTGACATCATCAGAGCCGATGATGCCAGTCAGGCTGCCGGTCCCATACTGGAGAGAGATGGGGAGACCCAAGGCCTGGTAGGTGCTGGAGCGTGACGGCTGGAAGCGGGCGTGATTGGCTGGGGAGAGAGCAGCTTGCCAGAAAAATGGGCACGTAGGGGTGCTTTGGGGAGCTTTGCTGGGGGGATGAGCTTGTGCAGTATTCAGTGAGAGATGACGATCGTCAGTGCTATTCCCAAAGCACAGACAGCGATTCTTGCAGCCCATCACTGCAGGCTGTGCTGTTTCTGGCTTTGATCCCCAACCCCTTTGTGCTTTGCAGGGCATTGCTGCGTGATGTGCTGCAGTGCTGGGAGCTCAAACAAGCACAGCACTTGTCCCCAGCCCAACCCTGGGCACCCAGCCCAGCACTGTGGTCTCTGTGCCTGCCTTGTTCCTGCCACTCAGCTCCTCGCTGACCATCCGCATTATGTGCTATAATCTCTCCTTGTTTGCTCAAAGGCCCTCCCATAAGAATGGCCCAAAGATCCTGGCTGATATCTCCCATGGGCTGATGGTACCGGGTCCCGGTGGTGTGATTGCTGCCGAGCAAATAAACCCACGCTGTTCCTATCCCCACTGCACCCCATGCAGAGTGCAAACACTGCACCTCCTGCATCCTGCTGCTGCTCTGACCCCATGGCCCCACTGGGGCTGCTTTGCACAGTCTGACTCGTTCAGGGATCCCCTACTCACTGCAGGCTTTGCTGGTGCAGTAGATGGATGGCACCCAGAGGTTGGAGGAACCCGTGTCGAATATCACCGTGAAGTTCTGTGGTGGGGTCCCGATGGAAATCTGCCCAAAGTACTCCATCTGGGAAAGGCAGAGCAGAGGCTGTTGTTGGCCACTGGAGCCTCAAAGCACCCTGGCGGAGGGGCTGTGTGTGGGGTGAATAGGGAACAGTGTGCGGATGGCTGCATTGTGAAGCGTTTGTCTGCCTGGGCTGCATTGTGCGGAGGGAATAGAGAAGCCAAATATTTAAGGAACAGAAGTGCAAGCTGAAAACAAAGGCAGGATGGTGGGTGTGGGCACGAGCCTCTTCCCGCAGGGCTGCAAGATAGGGTCCCCTTGTACTGCCCAGCATAGAGATGCAAACAATACACAGAGCTCTGGAGACCCCTTTTGCCTCTGCCCGTGCATCCCTTGTGCAGAGGCCCTCTCTGCTGCTGCAGATGGAGGGGGATTTGGCTCCTGGGGCCTGGGTGGGTAGCACAGAACAAGCAGGGGGAGGGCTGGCATCGAACACGCTGCCTTGTTTGTGCTCAGCATCATCTGCAGGAACAAAAGGAGCAGCCGGGCGCAGGCAGCCACCATCCCAGGCATGCTGCAGCTCGTTCCTTGCGCGGGAGCAGATTTATTTGAGAAGGATTTGGGCGTTCAGGAGCACTCATGCAGCACAGCAATCTTTCAGGACGCTCCGGGCTGCCACCAACTCCACTGCACTCACATCCAGGTAGTTGATGAGGGGCTCGTTGGCTTCCCCGAAGAGAGAGCAGTCCTGTGTGTACTGCACCATGTCCAGCCTGTGGGCCTTCCAGAACTGGGAGAGCTGCCCACGGTCCCGCAGCGACTTCCGCAGGGAGCGGTGCCGCGTCAGGGTCACCCTGCAGAGCACGGGTCTGCATCACTGCATGGGCACAGGGCTCGGGATGCTGCAGTCCCTGCGCCTCTGCACCCACCCCAAGCATCTCCCAGTGCTGATGCAGCCCTCAGCTGCGCCCTCACCTCCTGTGTGGGAGATAGCAGCACTTCCCCCCCCGGGAAACCCCCAGCACCCTGCGATCCCCTTTACCTCTTCAAGCCGCTGCATGGAGCGAGGCAGAGCACGGCGAGGAGGAGGAGGAGGAGGAGGAGAAGGCTGTGCATGGCGGCGGTGCAGGGCTGCACGGCGAGGTGGTTCTTATACCAACAGGTACACCCTCGCCCCGCGCTATCAGCGATAACGCCCCTCTCCGTGTCAACACTGGGCTTTGGCTGTGGCAATGAATCACTGGGCACCTCTCGGTCAGGTCAGAGCGCCGGGTTGCTGGGGAGGACGAGGGGCTGGGCCACGTGGGGCTGTACGTGGGGTGGGTAATGGGGGACCTCTGGGCACCCCCGCTGTTTTTTTCCTCCCCATCCCTGTTTTTTTTGCTGGGGTTGCAGGAAGGGGACGTTCAGATGGTGCCGAGCTGCCTCGAAAAGGCAAAGATCTCCTTAGCCTTGATGAGCTGCTCAGGAATCTGCAGCTTTGCTTTTTGTCATCGAAGCACGGGCTTTGGCAAAAGCTGCTTTGCTTTAGGAACAGTTACATGTTGCCTTACAGCCACTGATGGGTTCTTCCTCAGTGGTTTCTGTTTAATACTGGACAGTCATCTCATTAAGCATCTGAGAATGCAAATAAAGGATGCTAATGAACAAACACAACTCCTATCTGCTGCTGAGGCTTTGTCTTCCTGTGGTTGTTTCCCATGTTTGTGGCCCTGCAGCGACTGATGATGGATGCCACGAGGAGAGGTGTGAGCAGCACTCACGTTATTAACAGCATTTCTACCCCTAGCGCAGCGCTAATCAATTTCCCATTTATTGTGGTTAGACTGTTTTATTTAATCTTATTTAATTAATGGCAAAGCAACCGGCGCTGAGGGGTCCATAAATGCACAGCAGTCACCTGGAATGCTCTGCAATGGGATGGATGGGTGGTTCTGCTAACATTGGGCTGGATCCCAGGCCAGGAGCAGATCTGCTGTGTGTCCCCACGTCCCTGCACCCAGGCTGGCAGCTGCAGCCTTTCCACTGAGCAGCCCTTGCACAAAGTCATCCCTATCATATTTTGAACACTGTTTCATACATCTTTCCCTACAGTTCCATGCATCCTCCCTCCTTGTCCCAATGATATGTGGGACGTAAAAGGATTAGAAAAAAAGCAACCCTTCCTATAAGGAAAATAATTGCAGCAAGGGGAGGATCAGCCAAAAGCCATCCGCAGCCGAGGAGGCACAGCAGCACATCCACTGCTCCAGATGTGACTTATCCATTGGAAATCCCATAACAAACCCTCCTGCCCTCAGGCTGTGTGCTGGGGAGCATGGGCTGAGTGCTCCACGTTTGGCACTGGAAAAGATCCCTTCTTGGGTCAGGGCTGGAATGGCCACAGGGAGCAGGGATGCGCTGTGGATGGGAAGCGACCTCCCCTCAGCTCCATTTATGGCACCTGACTCATTACAAGAAAGCTGCTTTCAAGCTAAAAATAGGTTATCTGCATTCTTTTTTCTTCTCTGTATTTCCTTTCCTTCAGCCACTTCCACTATTAGCAACCAGTGATTCACATCGTACCCGAGCATCACCTTCTGAAAAGCCTTTTTGCTCTGATTATCAAATCCATCTCCCACCTGCTAATCTGTTTGCATATCACAGAAAGAGTAAAACCCTGTAACAGCAGCACTGAAAAAAATAAATATTTTTATTTCGGAGAGCGATAAACAACCAAACTCCAGCTAAATATTTACCCACAGCAACAGCAGCTGATGGGTGAAGGCTGAGACCCAATGGAATCACCCAACAGCTCTTGGAAGCCCAGCTCAACCTCCTCACCTGCTGGTGGTGGGGCTCATGGGGGGCTCACATGGAGCATTTACCCCCAGAGCTGTTCTGTGTGCCCTGCTTGCAGTGGAGCAACATTTTCTCCCTGTGTTAAAGCTGCCCATGGGAGCACATGGTGCAGTTGGCCGGTGGGAGCTGCGTGGGGCTGCAGCTTTCCCAGCCTAGGGCCCAACCTACAGCAGAGAAACACCCCAAAATATTTAAATGAGTGAATGCAAGCGTCATGGAACCCGGTGCCATCACTTCTGGGGGCAAAGCGAGACCGCATCCGGCGCCCAGTCAGTGAGCACTGCTGCACCAGCTGCAGTCAAACATCCACCAAAAATGCTCCAGAAGCATCCCTGACCTCTGCAGAGCATCCCATCCATCTGCTCTGTGCCCTGAAGGCAGGACGGACACACAGAGGTCTCTGCACCCCAGGTAACACCCAATGGGCGCCCAACATGCCGCGCTCTGTGTGGTGCTGGGCAGCATGGGGCTGTGCTGGGGCTGTGCTGTGCTCTGTGCTGTGCTGAGCTCTACAGCTAAAACTGAATGCTGAGGTCAGGCAGGAATAGGTTTGAAGTCATCAGGGGCAACGCCGTGGGTTTGCTTACCTTCAGATTGAGCGCAGACATCTTGCATTCGCAGCTCAACCAGCCAAGCGCTCTACAAACCTTGAGTGCAATGGGACATCTTGCTATAGATGGGGTTAATAGCCTGGGGGTGGGCAGGAGGGGGCTCACAGCCCCTGAGACACCAAAAAAGTACATGTGCTGCAGCCCTTATCTGCAAAATAGGTATTTCAAGGCGCATCTGTGCGTAATCTCTTCCATCTCAATGCACCCCAGCAAAGAAGCTGCCTGCTGCTGGTGTTTGGGTTTGGGTCCTGCTTTGCTGTTTCCTTCTAAGCAGTTCAATTCTCAGATTGCTATCTGCTGCTGCAGCAATCTCCTGCACCAAAATAGGAAATGAGCCACTCAAACGGCGGCCATTTGAGGAGGATATTTGGGGTGAGCTCAGATCAATAAGGAAGGGGGAAAGTCCTGGCAAGACATGGACTCCTAGCTCAGCAGGTGCCCAAGGGTTGGGTAAGTGGAACGGTGCAGGGGAACGATGCCATTCTGATGCTTTACTCTTGGAAATACATCTTTGGGCTTTTGGCCCATGGGATGGATGGGCCTTGGCTCTGTCGATCTGCGTTTATCACTCACATCATTATGGCTCCTTTAATCACCATCTCTAAGCTTTAGCTGAAGATACCTCTGCATGAAAACTGAGGGCATTTTTTTGCGAGTGAGCACTCACGAAATGAAGGCTCTTGATTGCTGTCCTTCATTATAAATCCCCAAGCAGTACAGCCAAAAATCTCAAGCCAAGGAGCGCGCTTCAGGCACACGTATTATCTGCCGTGCTTTAAGTCCTGACAGCTTCAGCAGGATTGAGGCACTCACCTACAATGAAATCCGAGGTGCTTCAAGCGCAGTTAAAGGGAAGTGCATGCCTCCATTTGCAATGGGATTGGAGCAAATGATTTCCTGCAGCACTTGGAAAATCCTCTCCCAGGTGCCCGGCGGGCGGCAGTGAAGCATCAAGCACAGCTTTGCCTGTTGGTTACTTTCTCCTACGATTTATTTTTGCCTCCAGATGAGAGTTATTGAGTATTTTTTTGTGGATTAAAAGAAAAAAAAAAAAAGAAGTGAAGAAATGTGAAAGAGGATTAAAGCAAGGAGGATGCACTGCAGCTGGCGGCGATGGCGCTGTTATCAGCCCTGAAGCTCCGTGCTGGGAGCAGATAGAGCTGAGGGGATGAGGGCAGGGAAAAGGCTGTGCATAGGGGTGTGTGGGGCTGCCTGTGTCTGTCTGTCTGTCTCCAGGAACCTCAGGGACGTTGCTGGCAACACAGTGACAACGGAGATGGAGCACTGTGAGTGGTGAGTGCTGCACGGCCCCATGGCACAGCTGGGGCTTGGGGTCTGGGCTGAAGGTCGGTGGGAGTCCTCTGCATCACTGCTGCTTGGGGTTTTCAAAATCCCTTCTTGGGATGGGACCCCAGAATGAAGGGTGTGGAGCCCGGGGCGCTAAGAATGAAAAGCAAAACCAAAACCTCTGCCGGCAAACTTTGGGCTGAACAGGCTTGGAGGCCACGTCAGCCAAAGCGATGCTGAAAGATTTCAAATAATTCCGATATTTCTTTCATTTGGGCAAAATCCTTTTCTCCCATTCAGGTGGGTGCCTGTCGCCACCTCAGCTGTGACCCTGCTGCTCAGCTCTCTGCTCCTGCTGCTGCTTTACATCATGCTCAGCAGGAAAATAGGTAACGCACCACCCTGAGCTCCTCCATCAGCCCTCAGCTCAGAGAAGGAAAGGGATCTGCCCAAAGCCTCAGCACCCCCATCCCTGAGGCACCCCCAGGACCTTGTCCGGCCCTGATTCTCTCTCCTGCTATGGGGCACTGGGTCTGGGCACCCCTGCACCCATCAGACCCCCCCTGCTCAGCACTGATGTGGAGCCGTATTGATCGCAGCACAGCAGAGCAGCCATGCACAGTGATGGAGTTGTACAGCCCAGGATGCAATGCTGCTCCAAAAACATTTTGTATTATTGCTCTGGTTAGAAGAGCAGTGGGGTTTCCCCGCTGACAGAATCGATTTGCAATATCAGAATCCAGATGGAGCTGTGATTTCCAGCAGGAAAAGAGATGCTGCCCACATCTGCACCCAACGCGTGCTCTGCCGGGCCTGTGGGTCAAAGCAGATCTGAACTTACACATGGGAAGGGTCCCCGATGTGCTGATTTGACTTTGGAGCCTGACATCGCAGAGAACAGAGAGCACACTTCATCAGCTCAGTAATTGAATTGACAGATATTTGCCCACTCCAATACAAAATAATAATTGCTGCTGTGCTACGGCCCGCACCGAGCTGCTGGCTTTGGGGAGCGGAGGGGGGATGAGCTGTGCAGGAAGCTGCAGGGGAGAGAAAGCACCCAAATGGCACTGGAGGGATGCGGGGGGGGGGGGGGCTGCAGCTGGCTCAGAGCTGCAGCAAAGGGCTGACCCCCCTCCCCACTACTGCAGACAGGCACTGCTGCAGTGCACAGGTGAGCAGTGGTCCCACAGCACAGCCCCAGCAACCACCCATCTCTTCAGCTGGAGGGGAAGGGGTGCAGCAACCAAACTATATGGGTAAGGGGGATCCTGCAGCACGGCCATGCATTGCTTTGTGCTTTGTGCTTTGTGCTTTGTGCTTTGTGCAGTGCTTACACAGAGCTGCTCAGTGCTGCTCCTCCGGGTGCCAATGCGGAGCAGGCAGTCTGCAGCCATGCACTGGGTGCAGCAGCTGTGTGCATTTCGGGCCTCTCCTGCTCCCTGTGGGCACTGCTTGTGGGCAGGGGGATGGATGGGGCGGGATCACACTGTGCCATCTGCATTTTCACTTCTCACTTTCGTGTATGTGAGCCTATTTGGGCTGAGAGCATTCCCATGTGTGTGTCACTGCTAACGATGGGGAGCACAGAGGCGGCCGCTTCTGCTGTTCACACTTTTCTCTGATTGCTTTTTCTCCCTGATTACACATTTCTGGGATGCATGCCCCGTTTAGAAGGGAGCAGCGAGACGTCTTCAGAGACCTCAGAGGACTCGGACAGCAGCTCTGTGCACCCACAGGTACGGAGCTGTGCTCCACGGGCAGAGCTCTGCCAAAAGCAATCACAGCTGCTACAGCCGTGGCAGCACGATGAAGGCAAACACATTGAGATGTATTAAAATAAGCAGTGGTACAGCTGTAGGTGTTGTCCCCTGCCCCATGCAGTGCTGACAGGGGGATGCCCCCACGGGTGATGGCAGTGCCAGGGCACGGTGTGCTTTTCGGTTCCAGGGCGCAGGCACCCTGAGGTGCTGCTGTGTGACCCAGCACTGTGCCTGCTCCCCTAGGAAAGGAAAACCCGCTCAAAGGAAAACCTCAACTACACATCTGTGCTGTTCCCGGGGAAAGGCTCTGATAGGAACTACGAGAACATGAAGATGGGCGCTGATTACGTCAACGTGGACCCAAAAAAGAAGAAAGCAGAGTTTTGGACCTGCTCCAGCCCTGTGGCATCCAAGTCCATCGAGTACACAGAGGTGAAGCTGTGACACTTCCCTGGGGTCCCACAGCAGCCACCGCTCTGTGCCCAGGTCAGTGCTGGCACAGGGCTGCTGCCATTCCCTGCGATGGTGCAGCTCCCCCAGGGATCTTTTGGGGTCGGAGGCTGTGGGTGTGGGGTGATGTGGGGCTGCCCCACACCTCCCTGTGGGGAAACGCTCCTTCTCAGACTGCCACAAGCTCTGCACGTGTGTGTGAACACCGTTTTCTCATCTTGTGAAAGCAAATGCTCCCCCAGCGGGATTCGGGTAAGAGAGGGAAATGCAATCATTTCCAAACCATCCCTCCATTGGGCTGACATATCCTGTGAATAATGCTTCCTTCGCTGATGGCTGTCATAAAAACCTTTTAAATACACTCCATCCATCGGCTTCACCCTTCCTGCCCTCACACTGATCCCTCCTCTCTGCACCCCATTTTCCTCTGATGCTGAACCCCCTCAGGGCCCCATCAGCCCATCACCTGGCACTGGGGTGGGCACTGTGGGCATTGCCTTTCTCACCTGCTGGAGATGACTGAGGCTCTAAATCTCTGGATGTGGGAGAAGCAGGATGGGACTACGGCATCTGTGCATGACTAAATCCCTGCATTGCATTTTCCCTGCCCTCCACCTTCCCTGCAGCAAACGTGTGGGGTGCAGGAGGTGATCTTCCCCACCTGAGCTGTGCCCACCCCAGGGTGAGTGTGGTTCCCACCTCAGTTGGAGCTCAGTGTGACCGACCGTGGCTCACCTGGGATGCTGCAGGGACAACAGGAAGAAATCCCATTGCCTCCAGGTCCTGTGCCCTGCAGGTGCTCTGCTCCTCGCTGAATAAGACAAAAGAAGCAGCAGCGATTTGAGAACGGTTCTTTAATGTGCAGCAGCTGTTCAGCAGTGCAGAGCAGCACTGTGCAATGGCTGCTGACTGCAGGAAGAAGAAACCTGGTGGGAGGGAGGCAGGATCTGCCTGGATGAGGTGGAGGTGGGCCAGGGCTCTTCCAGGCATCTCCTCAGTGATGTCCGTGCTGCATTTGGGGTGCTTGTACTACTGCGTTGCAGTACTGCGGAGGGGAAATACCTGGTGCAGTGCAATGCTGCAGAGAGCAATGCAATGCAGTGCAATGCAATGCAATGCAACGGTCGTGTCTGCTGCAGCCCTGGGGACGTGCAGAGCCACAGGGCAGGGGGAAGCCATTTGCATTGGCTGCTCCACCAGCAAAACCATGAGGCTGGGAGATGACAGTGTGACTACAAGGAGCTCTCAAGCAGATGTGGCTGCAATGCCTCCTGCTGTGCTCAGACTGCTTTGCTGGCAGCTGTCAAACACCAAAACTCTCATAAAAGGGTCTTTCTTAAAAGATGTGCTGATGCAGCATCCCCATCAGATGCCTGGGTAATGAGCACGGAGGGGAGCAGGGTGGTGGATGGGGATGCATCACAGTGCATGGAGAGGTGAAAGCTGCACATGGTGGTGGGTTGCCTCCATCTCCTGATGCACACAGCAGATGCAGCACATGCAGCAGCAAAACCCACGAGGACAAGAAGTCTGGTGATACATTCTGGGTGAAGCACACATCTCCTGGTGAAATGCAATGCTACCAGGAGGGGAGACAGTCCTGCCTGCCATTGTCCACGATGCCACAGCAGCACCGCAGCCTACAGTGTGCCCGAATCGGTCACCACTTCCTCCTCGAGGGGGCTGAGGTTGGTGCCACTGCCCCTGTGCAGGGGGATGCCAGCACTGAGGCCGTGGCTGAGGATGGTGGTCCTCCTGCTGCAGAGGCTGCCGGCCGAGCCCTGCCTGCGTGGTGCAGATTTGGGGCAGCCCCATAGGGCCAGGCAGCGTGCTGCATCCTGCAGCGGGCGCCCGCTGAAGAACATGTAGATGCAGGGGTTGCAGCAGCTGCTGAGGCTGGCCAGCAGCATGGTGATGGTGAAGGCTGCGTCGGCAGAGTCTGGGGAGGCAAAAGGGGGGGGTGTAAACCTCCACTGGAGTGGGCTCAGGGTGAAGGGGGCTCAGCGTGCAGAGCTCAGGGCTTCTGGGGGGTTCTGTGTGGCGTCAGTGCTAAAAATTCCCTCTTGTTTTACTCCCATCCCATTGCTGGGGTGGCAGCTGGCAGCTTTCAGACCCGCTGCTTCCCTCAGTCTGCTGCCAGAGCACCTCCCAGAGGGCTGGCAGGCTGGGTAATGCCTCAAGCAGGCCAGAAGAGATACTGAAATTAAAAACATATGAAATGAAATCCCAAATCAGCTTCTCCAAGCTCTGCAGCTGGCTCAGCAAAAGCCCAAAGGGCGCTCGATGCTCTGTGCGAAAGAGCAGCGATCCCTCCAGAGGGAGGAGGGGGGAAGCTGCACAGATAAAACTCTCCCTGCAGCCACATGGGAGCACAGCAGCTCCTGGAACAAACTCCCAAATGAGGGGAAAGACACATGGCAAAAAGTTTGCATAGCAACTTGATGCCTCCCTACAGCTGCTGGTCAGAAGTCATTGGTTTTCAGTGGGTTTGATGGAGAAAAGCAACGATCTGGCTCCGCTATGGGGGAGTTAAGCAGTGCTTTGCCAAACAAACAAACAAAAAAACGCCCAAGAAAAGAAGTGAGCTCCTGCTTGTTAAAAACACAAAGGGCTCATCCCTCATCCCCACCACTACTCACCATCATCAGGAGCATCCTCGTCCCACACCGACCACATCTGCATGCTGAAGAAGGGAGCCCAGCAGGCAACGTAGGCCACCACGATGACAAATGTCATCTTCACCGTGCGGATCTTGGCGCGGGAGATGGTGCGCACGCTGCTGACACGCGAGGGCTGCCCAGAGTGGCACCGTGTGCCCTTCTGACTGCAGTACAGAGCGCTGGGGGAGGCTGCAAGGAACCCTCCTGCCACAGGGACACAGCTCTGCGTTTTGCCTTTGAGGTTCTTGCAGATCTCACGGCAGATGAGGCTGTAGCAGGCGGTGAGGATGCTGACGGGCAGGAGGAAGATGCACAGCGTGGTCCAGGTGATGTAGGCACGGGCGCCCCATGGGTACCCGAAGTCAGCCCAACAATCCAGCACCCCTGAGCCTGGCTTCACCTCCCGTAGGGAGAAGATGAAGAGTTGCGGGGTGCTGAGCAGGCAGCTGAGCAGCCACGCAGCCCCAACCATGGCGCAGGGCTGGCGGCTGGGCTGGCGCAGGGCGCGCAGCGGGTGGCACACGGCCATGTAGCGATCCAGGGTCATGGCCATCAGCATGTAGGTGGAGGCGAACATGCTGAGCACCTGCAGGTACTTCACCAACCTACAGAGCAGATCCGGCCCTACAAAGCGGTATGTCACCTCCCACAGCATCTGAGGCAGCACCTGGAAGAACGCGACGCCCAGGTCGCTGAGTGCCAGGTGCAGCACAAATTGGTGCATGCGGCTCAGTTTCCTCCCGGGGCGGCACACGGCCAGCAGCACGGCCAGGTTGCCCACGATGGCCACCAGCAGGATGGCTGCCAGCACCCCCACCTCTGCCCTGGCCAGTTGTTCATCCCGGCCCTGCAGCAGGGTCCGGTTGGGGGTCCCCAATGAGGGTTGAAAGCTCTGCAGCTCTGTGTTGTGCGTGGTCTGACTGCTGTGAGAGCTATTCCAGTCCCAGCCCGGCTCCATCCCACTCCTCTGTGTGTCCCCCAGCACTGTGGCCGGTTGCCACCTCTGTCCCTGTGCACCCACTCAGCGTTGGTTTCCTGGAGGGGTGCAGCAATCCTGGCTCAGCCTTTGATCCGGGCTGCACTGAGCACCCCTAAATCCTTAAATCTCCCTGCACGGCTCATCTTGCAATCCACCTCTATCCCTCAATTGAAAGAGAGTTCCTCTTCGTTGCTTCCTTTTAGTGCAGCGACGGCAACAGAGGCTGCATCCCTTTGGCCTCTTCCCTCCAGGAGCAGGCAGGACACCAAGAAACCAAGCACACAGAATCCCTGCAGTGAGAACTGCGGGCAGGGATTTATAGTGGGATCCCTCCCCCCCCCCCCCCCCCGCTGCGTCCAGCTGCTGTGTTGCTGCAATCAGAGCTGTGATCCCAGGCTCTGAGGATCTGTGCTGCTCCCCCCCCCCGCAGCCCCTCTTTTTTAAACCCCCCAACACATATTACGTACACACGTGCCGTTCCATGTTTGTTTTGCAACACTGAAGCTTTGGTTTTCCCCCTCCCGGCTGTTGATTTACGCCAAGAAGAAACAGAGATATGAATCTGTTTGTGGAGTTGTTACTTTTCGGGGGAAATGCAGCAGCAAACAAAAGGAGTGCATTGGGAGAGGCTTCTTCCCAGCAGCTCCCTGCCCCACATTGATCGGCGTGTGCACGGCTCTGCCCCAACTGGGTGTGATATCACCGTTTGGGTGCCCGTAAAAGGCAATTATTTGCTGAGTAAAGATTTGCAGATCACCTCTAATAACCGTAAATGAGCACAGTTTGTGTCTAATTAAAAGACATTCATCCTCATAAGAGACCCTACGGGTATAAGCTACCTATCATAGGAAAGAGCCTCCGTGAGTTGGTGACAGGAGGTGTTTTGGGGAATGATGCAATTTGCTGCGGCTGTGATCAGACAGCTGCTTTGCTGGGAGATTAATAGAGGGCAATGCAAGAAAAAAACCCAACCAGCCCACAAATCAATAAAAAGCAAAGCTGAAGGCAGAGGCCGAAGGGCTGATCCTGCACAGATGAAGCAGCACTTCAGCATTTTGAGGCCACACTCAACTCTCACTGCCACCAGTTTGATTTGGAGCAGTTCCCTCTGCATTGGGGCTGCTGCTCCAGATTTGGGTGATCAGCAGCAAGGAGAATCCTCCTGCAGAGGTGCTTATGGGAAAGCAGAGCTCATCCGCAGAAGGCAAACGATCCTCAGAAGATAGATGTGCATTTTCTATAGGGAAAGATTATCATGGAAAGGAAATTTCTCAAGCAGAAGGATTGAAAAATAAACTCATTCGCTCCCATTGGTTTCCTGCACTTTTCTGAACACATTCCTGCTGTTTCCAGGTTGTATTTCAGCCAAACCAGAGCTGTTCCTTCTGCAACGGCAGTGCAATGTAGCCCCTTGTTTGCACAGCAGCCCTGAGCGTAACAGCTAGAAGGCCAAGCTGAGCAGGGATGCACAATGCATGGCATCCACCTACAATGCATGTCCTCCTGCTTGGGCTGAGGTCCTGGATATGCTGCAGCCATGAGTTCAGAATGGCCACAGCTCAGGAATTGCTCACACAGAGCTGTGCAGGAGCCCTGGGGCTGAGTGTTGAGCAGCACACAGCTGTGCCCTCAACCAACACCCCCAGCTGCAGCCACGTGGAGCCATTTCCCAACCATCAGCCCCCAGGAGCAGACC